AGTATGCGTCAGAGCAGACTTGTCTGTCTTTAAGATTCACAGCCGTCCCCCAGCATGCACCGCAGCACCAGCAGCTTCCAGAGGAGTGTTAACAGAGCTCAAAGTAGTGAGTTAAAATTTATCTTTCCTGTTGCTGTTGTTCTATATAAGTACGTTTTAAAGTAATTTGAAGCGAGAGCATCATACTTTTAAGCTTCAATATATGACCCATTTACTGATTTAGTGCGTAAGTTTAAAAAAAGGTTCTGATATTGAAAGGACTTTGTATCACGACTCAGAACAGAGGACCCAGTATACAAGGCAAGACAGGCGATGGGATTATTAAAAAAGTGTTTATTATAAATCAACAGATCTCCAGTAGCAGCAGCTAGGGTGTCTAAGGCAGGTGACCACGATAAGCTGATGGAGGATGATTATGAATGCGTTAGTCACTAACCTAGATTAACAGTTTAGTCCGTGCCCAGAGAACAAGGTAGGATCCAGCCGCTGGGCTGCCAACAAGATGCGGCGGGTGCCGCCCTGAGTGTCCCAGATGCTGCAGCTCCGGAAAACGAGTAATAGTCCAAAGACAGGTCAGGCAAACCGATCAGAACAGGAACAGCCAGGTTTAGAGATCCATGAGTCTGAAGCCAGGTCAGACAAAAAAAATAAATCAGAGCAGGAACAGGCAGGCTCAGTGGTTGTGAGGCTGACAAGGAAATCAGAAACACTAAGGTAACGCTGGCCCACTCTCTCCACCGGCTCCAGAGTATTAATCTGGCCTGTTGACTGGTAGTAGGCAGCTTAAATATAGACAGGAGCTTCTAGTTTGTTGAGACAGCTTCTATTTGAATGATTTCTTTATTCTACTGCTGTGGCAGAAGTCAGATCTGAATGTTACTGAAATTGATCTGTTTGGGTAAGTTATAGTCATTCATAAATTAACAAAAGGAAGCCATTTGATAATTGAGAATATAATTTAAATAAAACACTTTTATTCTTTACTGTCATCATTGTTACATATTAAACATGGGTTGGGACTACAGTATGAACATTTTTAGAACTCTTATCGAGCGGAGCCCCTTTATCTCTTGTTAGTGTACTTTAGACCATGACAAAAATCCGTCCTATTTCTCTTTATACAGAATGCATGATTTGTAACAGTTTCTCTGGGCCAATAAGGTCAAGTTTTCAAACAAATGTACATGTTAAAATTTAGATGTTGAAACATTAATCCGCAAAAGATTTGGAATAAGATACAATTACATAAAGCCACTTCTGGAAAAGACCATTTCTCTCTAGTTATATCTTTAACTGTGCCCTAACAGACATGGAGTTCCTTGAGGTCCTTACCGAAGGTCTAAACAGGGTCCTTCTGGTCCGTGGAGGCGGCCGTGAGGTCATCACCATCTATTCCTGAAAGAGCAGCCCCCTCCCCTGCTCTATAATCCCCTCCCTCTGTCCCATCTCTGCCGTACTCTCACCTCTTCATCAGTACGGCTTCATTATGAGGTTCTGTTTGTTTCTGTGCTGTAGTGCTCTCACCACCAACAAATAGCCCCGCTCAGCTTCAGCGCCTCTCCCTCTGCCCTATCCACATCAGACAAGTGAATCCAGAACCTTCCTAATGCAAACTCAATAGAAAAATTTAACCTTTCTCGACTGGTTGAAATCCTGTTATAATCCACCGTAACTCAGTCGGGATGAGGTGTTGGTGAGTGTGGGTTCTTCGCTGAAGTGTGAAAACCCCTGCATGTATAAGTCTTATTGTTTCAATCTCTGTGTTTTTCTATTCTTTTTGGTTTTTGTAAACACAAGAGTGGGACAGGCATGGCCTCTGAACGGCACAAACGTTATCTGGCCAAAATGGGCCCGACTGTAGGATTAGATCTCTTTAGTTCCCTTGTGGAGGATGTACTTTCCCCCCAGGCTGTTGTCTCGGGTGTGAGTTTTCATGATGGACTCTGCAGTCACAGTGAGGACCGCCGGCTGGAGGACAAAGGAGAGTACGGCTGGGAAGGATGAACTGTGAAACTCACCTTAACCCAAGAGACTGAAAAGTGGGTCTACTCTACAGTCTTATCTTTAACCTGCTCACTCTTTGGCATGACATACTCAACCACTGTGTATTGTGTTTTTACACTCGTTTTGTTACTGTAGTCACTCTGTTTTTCCCCCTCCCAGACTTCTTCCTTCTTATTTCTAAGTGGCTCTTTATCTCTTAGGCCACTGTTTGTGCCAAAAACAACAACAAAAACTAAATCCAAGGCTAGTTTGTTGAGATTGACACGTAATTAAACTGTGAATAGTCTCCTAGCAGAAGGCTGGGGTGCCAGTAAAGTGGGGAGATGGTTACAAACCCCCCCTCCACCCGCACCACCCAGAGGAGGAGGTTATTGTCTCCAGCACCTCTCGGCCCCGTGTGTGATCCACTGTAAATAATGTACAAGCTCTGATGCGTTTAGTATGAGTGTAGTATTTTTGTGACTAACTGAAAAGCTTCTAAGTGGAGAGAAAAGCCTCCTTCACTTAGAAAGGTCGCTGAAAAATGCAGTTTTAAAAAAAATATATATATATATTTATTTATTTTATTGTATCTATTTATCGGCTCCCATCATTATGGTAAAAGTTATGGCAAACGAAAGCACCTGCACTCTTCACCACTGTGCGACAAGCGAGATTTTGATGCTTTAAAAAAAAAAAAATCACTAAATGTTATTTTTTCATCTAAAGAAAATATTTGTCACTTTGATTGTCAGAGATATATCATCCGTTTTGCCAAATTTTCATACATTAATGTGCCAAATTAAAGTATTTTTCAGCGAGATAGTGAAGATAAATATATCTAATTCCACTAAATCGGAACAAAGTTTGCTAAAAACAAGTGAAAACACAATAATCAAGATGCTATTTGAAAGTGGCCCTATAGACGATTAAAGAATGAATGTTCAGCCATAGAAAATGAAACAAAACAGAAACATCCACTCAATTCAAGCTAGAAATGGTGGACATCTATTGGATAGTTCTCCATGGGACCTGATTGAAATAAAAATGGGAGGACAATGGTTTCTGTAACTTTAAAATTCACTTTGTCCACAAGTATGAACTCTATGCAGTAGATCTTCCAGTCAGATTTTATATCCCTAAAATTAGTGAAGATTTGAGCCACGTTAGCCACCACTGAATGACTCGAGAGAAAATTAGAAAAAGTGCATTTTGGCAGGAATGTGCAATATAGTCGCGAATCTGGACTCACGTGATCATGTTATTTATTTTTTTACACATGATATTTTGTATATGTAGATGTCGTATGTCTCGTACAATCCAGAATCATCTCACTCTGACCAAGGACTTCTGTCACTTTACTTTTATTATTCCTGTTTCGTTTCTTAAAAGAAAATATTTTTGGTCATTTGCACTTGTAGTAGAAGTATAAATATAAATTCGTATGTATACATAGTATAAATATATATATATGAATATATATATATAAATAAATATATATATAGTATAGGGGAGCAAAACAAATTAGATTATAGAACTATTTAAAAAAATGTTATTTAACGTTTTTAGTGTTGCTTGAATGTCTGATCATATGTTGTGAATGCTGCTAGTATCTATAGATTTATTTGTACTGTAAATAGAGATGAAACAACTCTAAAGACGACGTGAAAAAGGGTATAGACATACATATCAGTGCTGCTGGTGGTTATCGTACAACACAAGGCTGTACATGTATACTTTTGGCCTGTGACCTCTGGACAGGGTTCTGTTTTAATAGAAATACTATGATGAATATCTCGATGCAATATTACATAAGCGAGAGGAAACCACCCACCTATTTTTCCTCCCCTTTTCAGTACTGTTTATGATTATTATATTTTAGCCCTCAAATAAGTGATGCAACTTAAGGTGAAAATAGATTTCTGTGCATTTAAACAAAACTGGAGTTTTGATGTTTAAAAAAAAAAAAAAGGTATTTCTGATGTATTTGATACATTTTAAACTTTAGACATGCGATTTATGAAAAGAAAAAAAGTCACTCTGCTTCTATTGTTCAACAACCGAGTGCCAAGTCATGAGGGATTTCTTTTAACACGCTCGTCACTGACAAAGAGGGGGTGGCTCGCAGGAGTTTGAGTTATTTTCAGGTTGTCTACAGCGTCGCCTGCATCATCTGAGCCTTTTAAATTTATTCAAAAAGATATCTGAAGTTTATTGGAAAAGTTTACTGGAAAATTTATTTATTGAATTATAAATGTTTTATAATTGCTGTTTGCATGGTACTATGTGGCAATATTTGTTTCAGTGGTTTTCTATGGTGATTACTTACATGTTCAAGGTGAAGCACTTGGAGAGAAGGCGGCCCGACGTTCTTAGAAAGTTACAGTATTTTTGAGAACCCAGTTTAAACAAAGGTTGGCTAAGCCTTGAAAAAAAGTGTTTGCAAAAAAAAAAAAAACATACGGATGAAAAAGTATGAGTTCACTTTTCTTGTTATATTTCAATCTCTCTCAAGTAGTTTTACGTAACATATTATGAGATCATGTTTGCTAATAGACGGGCCTTAGAAGGGGTCATTTCACTTTTGTACATATATAACTTAAATCTGAGACACTGTAACATACTATTGTTGTCTTTTCTTGTACACTGTTCGATCACTGTGGAGAAAGTCTGAGTTTTGTAAGATCATGAGCAATGTTTTCATTTTTCTTTCCTATTTGTTTGCTTGCTTTGCATCATTTCCAGGAGGTGTCAGCCATCACTTATCATTACAGCTTTTATCAGCAGGTATTTTGGGTATCAACCCTGAATTAGTTTGAGACACTGAGGTCAGTTCACTATTTGTGAACCATTTAAAATCTGTAGCATTAAAAAGCTTTGCAGACATTAGAGGGACCTCTGGTGGCAATAGAGTGCACTACAGGCTGACAGCTTCTGCTGCATCATTTATTCCCATCATTTTGTCTGACATTTTCGCATGCACACATTTTATTCAGATTTCATTTTTTTTTAAAGCAGCTGTATAATTTATTGTACTTGTCACTTAATCTGTGAGCTGAATCCACCCTCCCAGAGTCCCCTTCCCCCTCTTTTATCATATCTACCCAAACCTTTGTTATCCGCCATCACAGCCACCAAATCCACCCCAGCGTTGTATTTTAAATGTGACTGCAGTATAATTCTGAAAAATTATCAAAGAATATAAAACTTGCGCTTCCAATTCTGGTACTGGCTCTGCTTGGACTTCGCTGACTGAAAATAAACCCAGCATGACTCTACCCATCAACTGATCCACAGCTTTAGATCAGATCCATCACCTGCACAACTGTAGCATGAATAAAAAAAAAAAAACACCTGCTGGTGATCATTACCCAGTCTCCATTCTTAAATGGATATTAAGGGCTCTGAAACACATCTGTTACCAGGCAGAATAGGAAGTTGTCATTTTAGGGCGACAAACCCATGACCATTACAGAGAAGCGACTAACAGTTGCATCCACCAGTGGTGTCAGACAAACACGTCTGATGCAGTAAAGAAAAACAATATCTGCTCTCATTGAACGTAATCCAAGTAAGACAAGAACAAAAAAACTAACTCCAGCTGATGTCCAAGCAGAGCCATAATCCAGTTATGTTGCGTTACTCAGTGCATGCATGCAACTACCCTGAACAAAGTGTGCTGAAAATATATTGGATGTTTGTGATATACAAGTATTCTGTTGGTGTCAGTCAAAAACCTTTATTTCTAGTATATTTTTTCTCTTTCATTAGGACTGGCCTATTGTTGTATCCAATATGGGTATTATAATCTATTTTTAAAATCATAGATTTATCCACAGGGTTCTGTTGTGTCAGTTATTGAAAAATAAAAAAAACACTGAAGTTTTTCCTCAGCTAGTATGAAAACATGCTTTCCAGTGAATTAGATCGAGACAAGAGAAGAGGTGTTTACCGACCTCTGGATAATGTGTAGCAACAGTTATTCAGCTATGAATGTGCAAAAACAAGATCTGTTTTAATACAAGCTGCTTGAGAGGCAGTTTCTGCTGTTTCCCTTGCAGTTCAGATACTTTTCTAATGTTCTCCAAATCTTTAAAGGATACGTTTGACTTTTTCGGGAGAGTGTTCCTATGACTGTCACAGGAAATGGGAACAGGAGCCTGAGCAAGAGGACATCCAACCATGAACATTGGAACAGTCCTCTTAACGCCCAGCCTGTTTCCATTATCTATGCAAGTCGTCTTGATTTGGACTAGAATATCATGACTCGCATATCCCAGAAAATCATTCCTTGAATACCAAAAAATAAAGGATTTGGCAACAGAGGAAACCTTTCACTATCCAAACTTGACTGATTTTAATTCACTGGGCCTGCAGGGGATGTTTTGTATGAATGCTTGGGAAATTAAAATGGATGTAAATGAATTTAATCGGCACACAAATCAGTGTTTGTTTCACAGATGGAAAACTTCCAACTGTCCATGACTTTTCCTTAACACTGTACCCAGTCTAACGGTAACGCTGTAGTGTGTTCCTTTTGGTTCTGTGGGGGTGTGTATGTGTATGTACACGTGCACTTGTAACTGCTGAGGGTGGGGTGGTTATGGGCATGGGTGGGAAGGGACTATGTGTAAATAAAATCAGATAGATTTAGTGTTGAGGTGTTTATTTTTTGTGTCAGTGTAAGTTAAATATTCTAAACTACAAAAAAAATGTATTCTCTATTGTGACTCCTAGTACATGAAAAAAGAAAAAGCAGTTTTATCCATATTTCCAATGCTTATCTCTCTAGCTTCTGGCAATACCTGTTCCATTTTATAGATTTGTCAGCACAAAATGCAATAAACAGATATCATTTTACTACAGAATGTGCCTCAAGTTTTTAATCTTGTTGTTTTGACACTGAAAACAAAAGTACACATTAATCAGCACAATCCAAAGCTATAAAATATCCTCAGGTCAGGGCAGAAAACCATCTCAACCACAAACAGAAACATATTTTTATAACTTGTTTTTCAACCACACGCAGTAAAAGTTTCAGTAAAATATTTCAGGCAAACTGAAGAGTATTTGATCTAACGTAAGCATCCAAATTTAACAACACAAAATCAAGGACGAATATAAAACCTTTACAAAACATCCTCTGGGATTACCAACACATCACAAGAGAATCTATCACAGAAATGGTTGCAGTATATTAGCCTCTAACCGATCATTTAACTCGTACTGCTTCTCAATAATGACGAGGATACATGGACATGGGGGGGCCTTGGCTCATGCTAGGAGCTGGTCGTGGAGGGGGCTGCTGAGCAGAACTAGGCCCCACCAGGGTTTTCAGAGACGGTCCACTCTGAATCAGAGTGTCCAAAGCTTTCTGGACACTGGGGTTGTCAAAATTGATACCAGAGGTGGATGCAGGGGGTCTCTGAGCAGCACTGGCAGGGGGTAAGCGCCCCAGTGGGATACCGTAACCCTGGGATCCCCCTGAAGGCATTGGTGGACGGGATGGATTTGGGGAAGGGCCAAGAGAGCCATAAGAATGTGACTGAGAGACACTCTGAGAAATGCCAGAGGGTCCTGACATGGGGTTGGAGGTGCTGTTAAACAGGCTAAGGATTTTAGCCTGCAGCTCCTGCTGATGACTCGGGTTTGACGAGGCGCTGGGACCGGCCGCCAGGTGGCTTGGCTGGGAAGTGGGGAGTGAAGATGAAGCAGATCCTGCAGCTGGTGGTAGAACATCATGATGCGACACTGCAGAAGATGGATGAGCTGCTGGTTGACAATTAAGATTTTGTGTTATAAATAGCCTTTAAGTAGTTTTTAGCATGAAAATGAAGCATAAATCTATAGAAATTCCATCATAACTAGCCCTGTAGAGAGTTACCTGTAAGAGGATCTTTTGGAGTTCTTACAAGACGGGCTCTCTTATCCTTCAGGTAGACAATGAGCGTGTCCAACTCCTCTGGGGTTAAAAATCTACATGGAACATAATCGAAAGGTTACTGATACGTCACATTCTTAGAAGCCTCTTAAAGAACTTCATCATGTCAGAGCCTCTTATCCTTCGCTGCCAGCTGAATCATATCAAAGCCGATACCTGTTTTCAGAAAGCAGTGTGATGGAAGTGAGCACTGAAATGGGATGGCCCTCTCTGTCAGGTTCCCGCAGTAACACATCATCCGCCATCTTGGCAGCCTTTCTCGCAATTTCCTCTCGTTCTTTGTCACGGTTCTCCACTTTGTAGGTGTCGTAGTTGTGGGCGACCAGTACCATAGCATCTTGCATTGGCATGTTCCGATGTTCTATAGAAACATGCAAGACAGAAAGGCAGGAATTAGACATTGAAAACACCTTTTTTGGGCTGATTCAACCAAAAGGATTGCACTGCTGAATGGAGTTACCTTGAGGTGTACCAAACAGGATGTTCACAGTGCAAGATCGGTGCATCTGATGCTGCTGAGTAATGATGATGGCGAAGGGAGTTCTGGCTTGGCCTACGTCCTCTAGAGCCTGGGTGAGAGAAACCTCTGTGTTCAGGAAGATTAGATCCACAACCATTCCCAGATCACGGATTTTCCGTCCCACCGTCTCTGCATACTCCCTACTGTAATTTCACATGAAAAAGAAACGCATGAAGAAAATGTGGGAGCAAATGAAAACATCCAACATGAGGGTAAACATTAATAGAGAACTATTTAATGTTGCAAAGAACGGGGAGAGAACTTGCTTCTGAGCCTTGTTTACAACAATCACAGAGCAGTCGACAGGGCGGTCTGCATCGTAGCGCCGTTGGAGTTCTTCGAAGTAATGTCGATACAGCTCATTACGTCGTCGCTCCTCTGGCCGAATGCGATCATCTACTGTTAGGCAGAGGGTGGGATGATGGGAAGTATTTAAAATGTAAAGCTTTAAGCTACAGGTCAAGCATTTTAGAAAATTAAACCCATATACAGCTTTTTATGGGGGCTATATAAGCTATAAATCATGCTGCCACTCTCATGGTGAGGAAAATAACTATTTGAACCGTTTTCTGACTTTTTCTAAGAATTCTGACTAAATGCTTACAGCTAACAAACATCTTGGCATCAAGTCGTAGCCATGTCTGTTTTACAGACTAAGCTAGCTCTCATGTTTTAATCACCTTCTGCTCTTTTATTAATGAAATACCATCACCTGGGACCCCTCAGACATGTAAAAACTCCCCTAATTCTTAGCAAAAAGTAAGAATTCCAAATTTATTCCCATATTAAATTGAAATACTTAAAAATCAGTTTAAAAAAATGTATTTTTTTAGTGGCCCTTATCCTCTTCCGTAACCATGAGAAAAAAAAATCCACAAATCACAAAATAAGACATTTTTTTTAAACTATTTATTTGTATGATACAGCTGCCAATAAGTATTTGAATCACCTGCTTTGTATGTCTAAAACCATTCCTTTATTGTACATTTTGTGTGCTTGTCTGTCTGCAATATTAACCAATATGATGTGCTGAACGAGATCTGCTATTTTCACAGTTTTTAATGAGACACTTTTTTTTTTATAAAGTAGGACATTAATTCATAAATAATAAGTTTTCTGCCCAACAGCAATGATAAACTGCATGGCAGCATTATATATCCAACAATTGTAGTATCTAGGAAAGAGCTCTCAGCCTGGTAAAAAATGTGATAGTTATTAGAAATTGTAAAGCTGTTTTTTTTTTTTTATGCAACATAAAACCATCTAAAACTAACTAGACTAAAACCTTTTTGAGGTTTAGTCGACTAAAACTATCAAATATTGTAATGACTAAAATATGACTAAAACTAATAGTTTTTGTCCTGAAGACAATACATATATTCTCCTGTGGGAGAATATATGTATGACAGAACCTTTGCATTTTAAATGGTCCTTGTCAGGACAGTTTTCCACTTAATGATTGGTTACTATTAAAAAAAGAAGATGGTAATTTAATATTAATTAATGCTTTAAGTGAAGGCAGCCAAAATACAAAGACTAAAAACCCAGAACAAGCTACAGAAACATAATGGCAATAGATGTACTAATAAGTTTACTAACCTACAGCCTCACGACGTCCATTCCAGGGGTCCAAATAAGGGTCCCTAAAGGATTCTTCCTTTCTTCTGTAATATTCTTCTGCAGCACTGCTACTGCGGTAGTATCGGTCATAATCATCTCTGCTGCAATGAAAAAACACGTTTAAAAAAATGCTCGATATAATTGTCAGCTTGTATCTAACAGTCGAAAAGTCACCTAAAAGCAGGATCCCTGGAATCAGCCCTGCCGTCTTTGTCTCTGCTATGGGAGCGGATCCGATATTCAGGGTCGCGAGAGAGGCTGCCTGGCCTGGGCTCCCTGGCAGAGTCCCTCCCATCACGAAGGTCCCGAGGCTCCCTTGAGTCGCGCCCATAGACAGGTGAACGCGATCGAGGCCTGCCATCTTTGTCAAATTGGAGCCTAAAGAAAAAGTTATGAATTAATGCTAGGAAAAACCAAGTTACCGTAAATGGAGATTTTTAAATTTTAAACATTTGTTCATTTCATGTCAAAGTTTTAACATTTGGAGAAAAAAAAAACTGTTTGAATTTCAAGTTCATAAGTTGTTTCATTTAGAGTAACATAAAATAGAAAATATTACCGGCAACAGATTTGTGATTTATTTTATCTAAACAAGATGCATAAATTTAGTAGATTTTCGTCACCTTTTTCCCCACCAAACAATACTGTCAGAGCAATAATGGCTCATCCCCAACATATTTTGAGTAACATATAAAATCCATGATTTCCACACAGTTCCTCCGATGCGGAGCCGAAGTGGAATTTCAACACAGCTCACCTTTTACAGAAATACGATCCAATCCAAGAGGATCGTTTCTTATGAGGAAGCAAGTCCAGTTTTTATGATTCAAGCGCGGCCCGAGTACCGTCACAAAGGTCAAATTAAGATTTTAAGACCAACAATTCTTCCATCATAGGATTCCATCAGCATAAAATCTGTTAGGGTGCCTGTGTAAAATAATAAATTGCTGCCAGACAGTTGATCAGAAGGCCCCGAGCTTTTCCGCTTACAGAAAGGGTAACTTGTGAGACACTTTAAGTTGCAAATATCATGTAGAGATAATAAAAATTTTTAAAAAAGACCAGCACGCATCACTTTTGAGGTAAGGCAAATTTCAAAACAAAGGGGACACTTTGAAGCAATAGGATTTATTTTAAAACAGTGAATTACTTCATGTTTTTATCAATGTCATTAAAATGTGGCATTTTTACACACTGTTATGAGTTGAGACTCTTATTGCAGCCCGTGTCTATGGCGCCCTCGTGTATAAGGGATAGTTAAAAGATGGCAGTTTTTTTTTTTCTTTAACATAAATTGGGAGAAATCATGAATTTCAGTAACACATTTTTCTTCTATTAATCCAGATTCTTCTTGTAAGACATGACAAATAACGACCACAACCATACCGTTCAGATAAACGAAGTTTGTACCTTTTCAACAAGTCTTGGAAAGTTTTTAACCTCAATCATAAATCTAACAAGATTTTTGAGAAAAGCTTTAAAATTTGCCATCGCAAAGTTAAACATTTGTAATAATATTACTTCAGATAGGTTTTTATTGCACGCACAAAGGTACATATTTTGTCAGGTTCTCTAAAGACCAACAAGACAAACTTTATTCAGTTTAAAGGAAATGTCAAAGTTGTTATTCCTTAAGAAGAGTTTACAAAGAAACTCTTTTGGGTTCCTTGAAACCCTAAAATCTTAAAGCGAGTATCACAAGTTATAAAGTTTCTAGCAGCGCAATTTCTACTTGCTCATGTGGGACATAAACTTAGGACAAACACCTACTCAAAGAGCAAAACGATAAACTCGGGTAGAAATCACACGAAAACGATGCTGCTACTGAAAAGCAATACAAGAATATTGGAGACAAACACACTTCTTCAAATTGCACCAAATGTGCCGCTCTTCTTTATTTCAACACATCAGGACATTTTTTACTTTTTAATTTCAATCATTTAAACCATTTCAAACTTATCCAAATGTGATGTAGCTTCCACCATGAGGAACTCAACCCTTGGGAGAAATTGCAGGTGATGAAAAGGTTAAATGCGCTTTTTTTTATTTATTTTTTTTTTACCGACAGTGGAGAGGCGGTGGAAGTTCTTCAATCGTTTCACGTTACTTTACCTTCGAGGAGGGCTCTGCTCGGAATGAGGTTTAGCTTGTCGTCGCTCCACTGCCATATTTACATCTGAAAATAAATGAATCCAAAACGTTGAACACAACATTGACATGTAGAGCAGCTAAATGCTGTTCACGCAAAATGAGTGGTCGCATCATCCCCTTTCCGGTCCAAATGAAAACTCAAGAGCCAGGATCCAAATTGGAAAATGCAAATTGGGTGAAGTCTCACAACGAAGCAAACCGAGACGGCAAATTTGTAAATCAGACCCCCACCTCCGCTGTTTCCTCAAGCGAATTTAGATGCAAGTTGAAAAGAATTCAAAATAAAAGTGCAGGCTTTAAAAAAAACTAAATAAATAAAATTGCTTTGCAGAGAAGAAATTTAAATTCAAATCCAATTTTAGAAATCTATGACCTTACAAAAATACAATAAAAACTTGCCAGCTTTATAGCTGCCACCCAAACCCTGCTGGGTTTACACTTTTAGTCAAATTGGAAATGATGTTAATTCATGAACACGCAATAGTGAAAGAGCCAAACGGCTGTAGCCGAGACCCAGTGTTAAGGTGTTTAAATAAAATCAGGCTGTGTCTGTAGTCGGTAAAAAAAACAAAATTCATTTAATGTTCAAAGTTAAGCCAGGCTGATTGGGTTTTGGCACCTGTTAATAAAAGGATTTTAAAGGAATAAATAAAGAAAATGCTGCATTTTCGTCTAAAATCTTCCAAATAATTGCATCTGTTTTGACATTTTTAACAGGAGAGTTTCACAAAATTTTGTTGATTAAATATTTTGGCATCATTTGAAATAATAAGATGATCTTATGTCAAATGATAATTTTGCGATTCAATATAAGAAAAATATGGACGGCTCGATCATTAATTCAAACTCTGTGCGGTTAAAGCTTACCTAGTTTGTACCCTTTATAAATTCGGCCTTTTTGAGCTGTTCTCGCAGATTCAGCATCCTCAAGGCGCTCAAATTGAACAAATCCATAACCTCGTAACAAGGACACGCCTGGAAAAGGAATATTTTAAGTGGCACAAAATCGGCTATCCAGGTCAAATTTTAAAACTTTTAGTAGAAACAGAAAATAATGTTTATGATAGTGTGAGATACTTAAACAACAGCCAAAGGCTGTAAAATTCTGAGACAGCTTTTCTGATATCAACCGTCACATGTAAAAATTGTCGAGTAACGCATGTAGGTTTACTAACCGACTATCTTCCCATATGGAGCGAAAAGCTCTTCCAAATCCTTGTTTGTCATGTCAGATGTTGGCAAATTCCCAACAAAAATTCTTCTCTTCAAATCCTTGGGATCTTTACTGTTGCAGGTGCGTGAAAATCGCACCGGTGATGAGCTGCGGCTTCTTCTGCGAGACATGGCTAGATCTTGATGTGTTTTTTTTTTTTCTTCGTGCACCTCAAATGGTTGAACGGGACGACTTTGTTTGGAAATAATTGTCTTTAAAGTGTCTTCAAACCTGAAACATGTCAGTGAGTAAGAAAAGAGATCAAGTTCCTTAAGAAAAAAAAAAAAAGGGGTTGCAGATGTAGATCAAATTCACAACAGATCATGCAAATCAAATTCAAATGCGGACTGAAAGGATTTTTGGTTTGGAAGAAATTTTAAAACATTGCTTGCAAGAAATTCATGGCGGTTTTCTTAAATCTCCATTTTGCTTCTAACTGAAATGAAAATTTGGCGGACGCGACAAACAAATGCGGGTCGTACAATGCAGGCCTTCAAACAAATCGCTGGAGAGACAGATTTCGAAATGAATTTTCCTTAAGTTTATGTTCTTCAGAAGCAACAATTGACTTTCCTTTTATAGGACCTTGATATAAAAAATTCTATAGTTATAGCACAAAAAAATTATTTATGGGGAATAATTCATACAAAACAGATGTTCATGGTGGGATGCCAAAAATTTTTAAGAATACTCTAAACTTAAGCTGTTCATTTCTGATTTACCTATAGGTTCAGACGTGCAGAAAGAGAAGTTATAGTAAAGCTGAACTCAGATACTAATTGACCAAATGTATAACAGCGTAATACTTAACTATAAAGAGATATTGCTGCCTTTATGAGATTGTTAATACGCATTATCTCTATTACTGTTAATTTTCCCCTTCTATTTTTGAGTGATGTTTTTTGTAATGTATTTTTTTGTAATTTTTGTAATGTGATGTTTTGCATAGAGGTCAAATTAAGCTGTTGCAGTTTCTAGAAATATAGATTGGGCTTTTTAAAACTTTCAGCGTTTTACTGCAATGATACAGCGACTGGGTTTTGCAAAAAATGACATGAAATCCGTGATGAAAACATCCTCTTCTCAACAAATTATAAGACAGCTGCAGAGGAAAAACGGTGTTCGTAAAATGGAATGAAAGGGCGAAGGTCGACTGAAATATTCAAAATTCGGACGATGAGATTCGTAGGTGAAGGCTTTTTTCTCAGATTCCATAAGGAAGAAGCTTTGAAAGATATCTATAGTCAATTTGTAAAACAATTCTGACATCAAATGGGGAAAACAAAAGTAACAAGTCAAAATATGTTTTGGTTTAGGGTTTTTAGGGTAAGTCCCTTGCATACCTTAATTTGAACCCAGTTGGATTCAGTTATCCTCTAGTATGAAGATCCAAATATCTAGATCCAGGATAAAAGAGAAGAGTAACTTCAAACGTTCTTTATTGTCCATAATAACTCTACAAATGAGTGAAAACTGACACAGAAAAGAACATGTATGTAAAAGCAATTTTAGGTTCCACCATTAAGTTTACCCTTTACCAAGTTTTTAATGCTGAGAATGATGCCGATACATAGTTGAATCTTACAAAAGAGGTGAAAGTTGCAGTTTAAACGAAAATACTTACACCCATAGAAGGTTTAGACAATGTTACAATTCTTAAAGATAACATAATGTGTTAATTCGTTCGACCACAACAGGTTTTACGGTACTTTATAAATGGGAATCTGGCATAATCCAGATTACCGTAAACACATTAATTCCAACCTGAAACCCGGCCTTTTTGTCATATATGCCTTTTCACAAAGAAAAGGTATATATGACAAATACTCGGCACACTGCATAATTGAATCACAAAACGTTAAATAAAATGAATACAATCTGGCGTTGATAACGTTTAAATCCAAACTATTTCCGTAAAATCTCGGATGTTTTTTTTCCAGTGAAAAATTCAACAAACGTTTACATTAGGCCTACATAATCATGCAGAAGCCATAGATCTATATAAATGAGTGTAAATGTGGCTTATTGTGTTATACGTCCAAAGAATATCTCGCGTTTTACTTTGCTAATGAAACATCCGCCGTAAGCTAGCAGGCTAGCTCAGGTCTGCCTCAGCGCCAACTCCGGTTTTTACGGTTATAAATGAAATGGCCAACTACTTCAGAGAGCAACGAATACATTATTTACGAGACCAAACTCGCAATACTATGCTTTATAATATTTATCTCATATGTGCCCTCGTTTGTTCTTGTAAAATGGATATCCCGTGTATTAATTCCCTGAGCAAGTTAGCATTGGATGTTAGCTACTTAACAATAGCGTCATAGAAATGCTAACATCAGATCACCTTCTCATCGATATTTATCGACTGCAATGGTGTGCCGACTCAATGCACGTTTTGATAATATTTTATTCAGAAAAATAACTGCTATAAATACCTTTTTCGTATGTATTTCTTGGTTTAGGCCACGAACAACTGCTGCCTGTGATGGTGTCTGGAAAACGACGCTTCTTCTTAATTTAAATGGCGGTTGGTAAACAACTATTCGGTGCATTACCGCCACCTAGCAGTGAGGAGTATGGATCAGGACAGGCATGCTGAAAAAAACAAAAAAACATATTCAATCAATCAATCAATCAATCTTTATTTCAGACACAAAAGAGGTCCATAGTAAAAACAAAAGAAAACAAAAGAAAAAGAAAACAAAAAGAAGCATGACAGTCACTGAGCCACAAATAAGTGATGACGCCAATGTTTCCACAATCTTGAGAAAAATCTCACTGTACTAAAAACAGGGTTTACTAAAATTGCTATTATATTATTGTATGACACGGACATATAACAATGATTTTTTTTACTTCGATATACTAAAATTTAAGGAGTCAAATAATT